TTATTTCTCAAATATGACTCATATGCCACTATACTTTGAAAAATAACCCAAGGTCAAATAGGAAAAAGAAAAGCATTTCTTTTTTTGTAAAAATAAGAAGTTAATTTGTATCTTTTAAGAAATCTGTATATCTTGGGTACATTGTAAGTACTGAGAACTACTTTGAACACAAAACATCACAGAATCTATAAATCATTGTGAACATAGACACTATAGTCCAGTAAGTGACACTCAAACAATCTGGAGGCATACTGAACTTGTATGGGTAATCCCCAGACCCTTTCTCAAAATGATATTTACAAAATGAAATATCTGCTATCATTTATCATCACATTAATAGAAAACTTGAGCAAAAATACAGGAAATAGGGAGCTCTAGTGGCCTCGTGGTAAAAAGATGCACTGAAATCCAAAAAATAGAGATGTAATAGGACTTTGAAATCCCTAGATGTGTTATGATTCCAAGTCAAACACTTTGCTCTGTCCCAGTATCGACCTTTATACGGCTTCATTTTAGAGCTGCTCAGGTGTGATTATAAATCAGCATTCATAAACCCTGTAGATTTTGTTTATTGGTAGGTTGGGTTTTTTTAAAAAAAAGTTTCTTTTTCCTTGATGAACTAATAAAAGAAATTTGGTTTGTTCTTAAAGAAAAAAAAGCACTTTAATGCCGTATTTTAGTACTGAAAAATCCAGTCTTAAAATGTAAGACATGCTTCTCCTGGACTTATTCTCTTACTCATAACAAAAATTGCTTAAAACAGAGATGAATGAGTTTGTTCACAAAAATAAATTGTGCTTCTGTGATTAAAATATAGTACTTGACTGAGGTTCTTCCCACATCATATTGGGATAATTAGTTTATTATTTTATGTCCCAGTTTCTCCATTAATAAGAGACAACCAATCTATATCTCTATATCGCTGAGATCTTGAGGATGGGGTGGGGGTAGGGAAACACAAACCAAACAAAATGTAATTCAGTGTCTGTGGCACTTAGATTAAAGGCAGAGGTAACTTTGTAAATTTCTGTTCTTTTATGGCCAAAGACAGCTCAAATTCATGCATTTTTGTGGCCCCACTATCCTACCCAAGTCAGTTTAGACTTAAATAGGGGCCTTCTTACCAGTTTCAGAGACAGTAAATCATTAAGGGGGGAAACTGGCCATCTTTCTCCCATGGGGTAGCTAAAGAGCTTGAACTACAACTTGGTTATGCACTGTGCTACCAGGGTTCCTTAGTTATCACAGGACAACCAGGTATTTTCTTCTTTCTGGACAAAGAAGAAAGCAAGCATTTTCTTATTTCTGGGTGGACTGACACAATGACTCCACAAATGGACAGTATGTCAGAATGATGAGGAGGGCGCAGGATGCGTCAGGGTTTTAGATCTTTTGTTTATAGGGTTGTTATGAGTCATACTCAACTCGACAGCACCTAACAACAACAAATGTTATATCTGTCTACCATCCCAGGATATGTTATTTTAGCTTAATTTCCTAAAGGATGATTTCCTGTTATACTCCATTATAAAACTGAAAAGCATCATCAACAGCAAAGACTGTTCAGAATTCAAACTAACAAAATGGAATACAAAATAGTGCTATTATGTGAGTTACAGAAGTGCTGGTGGCTTAAGTGGTAAGGAATTGTGCTGCCAAGGCACATACATAGTTGGAATCCACAAGCTGCTCGGAGGTGGAAAGATGGGCAGTCTTTTCCTATGTGACTTAAAGTCTCTCAAACCACTGTCCACGGAGGATCAGTTATATGTCGGTTCTGACTTAATGGTACTCAGCAACAACATGCAAGTTATTGGGACTTAACGCACTAACTCTTTTTGAGACAGCTCAAAGCAATCAGTATTTCATTAATTATTTTAAGTTAAAATAATGGAAAAATAGGTCTCAATTTATCCTTTGAAATCCCTCTGAATGGCTGCATCCTGCTCACCCATCAAGCTTTTAACAAATAGCAAGTACCTGGGCCTCCTAGTAAAAGTTCCTGATTTGGTGGCTTGCACTTTTAAAAACTCAACATGACTTTAAAATACAGAAGAGTTAGAAAACTATCAGCTAGGAACAGCACGCTAACCATGGTACGGCAGTCTCTAAGCTCAGCAGTGACATTTTGGACTGGACACGCTTTTGTTGAGGCTTGTCTTGTACACTGCCCTATGTTCAGCTCTGTCTCTGGCTTCTATCCAAGCTCGCATTGCCATCAAGTCAGACCCAACTCAGAGCTAGCACTCTGGGAGGTTCACAAGGCTGTAAATCATACGGGAGGAGACAGCCTCTCCTTTTCTCTTGAGAAACAGCTGATGGATTTCAATCACCAGAGAAGCTTGGTCTTTGGCTTAGCAGTGCAACTCTCTAAGCACTATAATGCTAATAATACCTGTGCTCCCAATTGTGACAACTCCAGACATTGCCAGAAGCTTCTCAGGAGACAACTCTGAGTGAAAAGCATCATTCTAAAACTGAGTGGTAAATATAAAACCTATTATCACAACTCATAGGACCACAAAGACCAGAGAACTGTTCTACAGTCTCCTAGGATTTAATCTTGATGGGAATAGATCAAGTCTTCTTCTCCTGAGGAACTCGGGGGTCCAAATTTAATTGTTGTTCTTGTTATATGCCATCGAGTCACCTGCAACTCATAGCAACCTTATGCTCAACAGCCCTAAACCCTGCTCTATCCCTTGCCCATCTTATTGTCTCCGACAAACCTACCCCATTATAATCAGCTGAGTTAATAACTGCACCATCAGAGCTCTTGTGAAATTAATACAAGAGTCATTTTCTTTAACTGGCATGTAGATAGGGTTTGTTATTTTCCTTCCTTTTCCTGGTAATGGGGACCATGTCTAGTTCTAAAATTCCTATCCCACTCATGACATAACCTTTTCTTAATGCTTTCATAAAGCATCTCTTCTCTGTCAACCTACCCTTCATTTCTATATTCCTCCTCCTCTGGAGGCCTGAAGTCAGTGTAATATGAATTCCTCTTCTTTTCATCTTCCTTTCATTCTCAAGAATTTTGTTTATACTTTTCACTTGTCTTACATGCAATAGGCTCCATCCAGAAATCTCAAAGTGATGGCATATGGGGACAGTTTTTATTTGCTCCCAGCACCTGTTCTGCAGCTGAACTCAATCTCTGTCTCTCTTTTTTCCCTTTCTGGCTACCACAGCCTTGAAGATTAGTATTTTGAAAGAATGACCTTTTGCTGAATGAATTATGCCCTGTCTGAACGCAACAAGTCCAGGAAGCAGGAAAACATAATTCCTGTAAATAATGCATTGTGACACTTCTGCCTTTTGATGAGACGTTAGCAGATGGGTTTCACCAAGTATGCAATAAACCTCTGTAGCTGTTTTAACAGGTATCTAACACTTGGGTCCTGCCGAAGTTATAGTAAATAAATTGTATTCAAGAGTCATTCTCTATTTTATGGTGTCATAATTTCTCAGCATTTTCCACTCGTCTAGGGTTAAAGTGGCTTACAGCATTATACAATGCTGAACTTTCATTACGAAAGAATTCCTTTTACAGAATTATGACATTATGCTCTTGATATTTTCTATGCAGCAGTGTAAAATAGGGTATCTTTGTATTTAATTGACACTGAGGAGACTGTCCACTATGTTGTTTAATGTTCTTGATGCATAATGGCCCAGGAAACAATGCTTCTGAAAGCTGAGGAATGGCGACCTCTTTCCTGATGGAATGCTATACTACCTATCACTGAACAGGAATCTCAAAGCACAACTACAATTTCCATGTTGGTTTACCTACCAAGAAACCAGAACTAAATTCTTTGCTCCACTTCTGTAAATTTCTTCAGTTAAGAACTTTGGGTGAATCTATTCTCTTTCTTTTCCTAGTTTAGACTTTTTCAGTTTACTTTGGGGTGGGTATTTTTTTTTTCTTTAAAAAAATTTTCATTACAAGTTGTTAGAAATCTATAATGAGAGAAGCTACAAAAATTATTTTGAGTGTTAAAATTTGTTCAATATAGCTATTTTTCTTCCTTACAGTTTGGTTTTGTTAATGACTTGAATATTCAGAAAAGCAACAAAACCTCATCTGAGATCAATTTAGCCTGGCTCAGTATTTCAGAGTGCTTTGTAATTTGTTGACAATGATTGTTTGACAGTTATATAAGGGTATAAGGGATGACTGATGATGACTTGAGATTAAAACCACAATGAGGAAGAGAATAAATACATGGGGGTGGCACACCTCTCTACATTCAAGGGGATGGGTTACAGAAACACATGCAACTCTTGGAACATTAGTCCTCGAGTGTGTCTTATGCTCATGTCTCGTTTTAATTGTCAAGAAACCAAATTTCAATATGGTATCACTTATTGGAGCTCTGCTTTCAGAGGGATATTAGTTTGGCTCCCCAGTGGACTCAAAGATCAAACTCGTCTTGGTCTTGCTGGACTTGGAGTTGATAATGTTCCCAAGAACTCAGGCTTCCTTCTAAGTGTAACCCCAGACCCACTTTGTTGTCTTTTTATTTCTCAGAGTTTGCTTTTCTCTTAGTGAGTGTAGTTACCTGAGTTTATTACTTTATATTTCTCTCATCTATCAAAGTTTGATTTCTCTTCACTCCTTTAATTCGTCCCCTGTTCCTGCTTCCTCTTAGCCATCTTTAACAAGGATTTTCTCGCAGTTCATCAGTCTTCCAGCCACACGGCACAGATCCTTTCTCTCCTTCCCCTCGCAGGGGTCTCTCTGCATGGGCTGTCTCAGCTTTTTATATCTTTTCCCCAGCTTCAGGTGGTTTCAGAGCTCCATCAACCCTTCTCCTAAACTCGCGGGCCCCGGGGTCCTGTTTTCCAGGACTGTGTCCTCAGATCCCCCACGGCTGCCATCCACCTCCGGGAAGCCAGCGTCTCCTCCCCCGCACCGGGTCCTGAGCCCCAGTCTGACAAACCCCATTCCCACCCAGCCCGGGTCTGCACGGCCCCGCCGCGTCAGCACGCACCCACTCGTTGGCCCGATGGCCGAAAGTGTACAGAGCCACCTGGCTGGCCACGTCCACGATGCGGTTGATATAGGGGTCGTGGCGCTGCAGGGCTGCCAGGCTGATGTCCAGTCCCTTCCCCACCAGGCCTCCCGCCGCCACCGCCGCCATCTTCCCTCCCTCCCCGGTATCAACCCGGGGCCCTGGGAAGTCACTCTCAATAGATCACAGAACGAGCGAGCTGCCTCGCAACCGAAAACACCGCGAAGAGCGCTCTGCGGAGGCCCTTCATTCTCCAGTCGTTTCCCCGCCCTCTGCTCCCGCCGAGGACGCAAGACATTACTAATCGATGACGGCGCCTCCTCGCAGGATCGTTGTCAGGGGCAACAAGCCCACGCTTGCCCTCTGAATCCTTTCCCGTTCCCAGAAGCGCGTTTATTTCCACTTGAGCTTTTGAGCTGTGCGCGGCTGAATTTACCTCTAGAATGTGTTCGAGGCCTTGACGAGTCTTTCCCTTGGCACTGGAACCGTCTAACCTATAATCATAATAAGCCTCAAGCATGAATAACTCGGACAGGAAGGAGAATTGTGATTTTTCTGACACAGCTCCAAACACCTAGTATTTCTCAAATGTTAGTCTGAGGACCTTTTAGGGGGGTTCCTGAGTCTTGCAGGCATTCTGCAAGGTGAAAACAATGCTAATACTTCCCCCCCGCCCCTCTCCCCACTTTCTAACTGTGTTGACATTTAACCAGGATTGGTTAAAGTTGTGACTCAAGGCTGCATTGAGTAGCCAACACTAAAACAACCACCAAAAAAAAAAGCCCCCTCATTAATATCAGACTCACAAGTGACGCTCCGTTGGGTTTCTGAGGCTGTAAATCTCAAAGGAGGAGGTTACCCATCTTTCTCTGTAAACTGACTGGTTAGAACCCCCAGAAACTTGGCTTTTGGTTTAACAGGCTCAGCTCCCTAGCTATTAAGCTACCAAAACTTTTTTTTTTTTAAGGTGGTTGGTTTTTTTTTTTTTGGTTTTGTTTTATTATTAAATTTTATTAGTTTCAATGAACATTCACAGGGATTCTGGGCTTTCACTCCTTCATTGCCGCACCATTCTCTCCACCCTCCTCCCCAGTTTGTTCTTCTTCCCCGCCATCCGAATGTCTGTTTTAATTGTCTAATTGCCACAGTGCTTGTCAAAGTCAGTTCTGATTAA